CCTTTTGCTTCCGGGTACCACCCTGGCAGCCTGGTTGTTTTAATGTTAGAGCAGCAGCCAGAGCAGACATTTTGTGCCCCACAGAGCCCACTTTGGCACAGGCTCGGAGCATCTCTGGTATTGAGGGGTCTCCTGGAAGAGCCTCTATGATCTTCCTACAATCCTCATTAGCATTATCCCTTGCTGGTTATTTACACAAGAGCTGTATTATCTTCAGCTTGTTTCTCCAAGGCTGCTGCAATTTTCTCAACAAATGGCAAGGGTTCCTTTAAACCTTGAGTGATTGTCACATATTGTGCCCTGGGAGAATCTGTTTCTATAGTCTTCTGCAATGCTCCAATACCAAATTTTTGCCCTTGCTCAAGGACTCTAGGGTCCCAATGGGCCTGGAGATCAGGATTGGAATACTCGCCCACTCCTGTAAGGGCCTCTAATCTGACCCCACGTCTGGGATCGTGCGCAGGCAGACACGTATTCTCGTCTGCAGCCCTCTGAGCCATCTGCCTCCAATTATCTTCAAAAACTTTAAATTGCACAGGCCTAAATAATACTTGAGCCAGGTGTCTAATATCAAACAGAGCAAGCAGATCAGTGTCTATCACCCTGATGATCTGCATAACCTCAGGAGATCCGAGCTCATATTGTGCTACCTTACTCTGTATATCCTGTACTACCTTCCATGCCATCACATCATGCCTGTCAGTCTGTCCTGTCTGTATTCAGGGCAGCCTTAAACACAGGGAAGGCTTGGCCAGCCCCCTGCGGTGTGTCTTCAACTTCCTGATCCATCTGGACCCAGTCATCAGAAGCCGAAGTGGCTTCCGGTCCTCCCTCCGTCTCCCCTGCCCCAGCACCCACGGTGTCAAAAATTCCGGTCCTGGGTGTTCCCAGCCTCTCGAGTAACTCCCATTCCCCCATTTCCAAAGCTCGCTGTTTCACCCCAAAATGCCCTGGATCGGACACACGGCCACTAGATGGGGTGGGAATGTCCTGAGATGGTTCCGGGGTGGGCTCGTAGCTGGGCCATTCCAGGCACCAGAAGAGGTGGGCGGGCTGGCTGCTTCGGGCGGTGTGGACTGTCGCTCGGAAACCAAAGCAGGCATGACATCAGGACAGCAGCAGCAGGCCCGGAAAAGAGGCAGTGCCGGCACAGGTGTGGGCCCCGTGGAGGGCGCTGGGTGGGAAAAATGCATGTCTCCCCCTGCCACACCAGTGGGCTGCGGTGGGGGCGTCCGTGCTGCCCTAGCAGCACAGGAAAAAGGGACGCAGAGGGGGCAGGGGGGGCTGAAGGATGCCATCAACAACGAAGGCCCCCCTGCGACCACCCACGGTGGCGCTCACGGTGCCAGTGAAGGTGACGCGGAGGGCGCAAGCAGAGGCGGGCGGACTCCGTTCCCCTGCTGCCTCTCTGTCAACGAAGCTTGCACGCCCAACTCCATGGGTGACAGATACTTAAACTCTCAGGGAGCAGGAGACTTCTAGGGCACAGACTTTCTGCCCCCCGGCCAAGTCCTCCGAGGGTCTGGGCAGAGCCGAGGGAGCGCTACGCTGCCCGTCCTCGGTCCCATCCCCCAGTCTCTCATGGTATACAAAAAAGGCACCCCCGGCATCCGAATCCTCCATCCCAGCATCACTGTCCCCAGACTGGCACCGCTCCAACATTCTAAAGAGCATGCCCCAGGTGGCTGCCAGGCTGCACACACTGGTATCTCCTTCAGTTAACTCAGACCATATGTGGTCTCCCACCGACAGCCAAACTTCGAGATCAAAGGCATTGTTGACAGCCACAGTAAAACCCTGCGCTTTCGCCCACTGAACAAAGTGCGCATAGCATCTTCAGAAATATCGAGTCCCATGCGTGGCAAGGCATTCTGCCACTCAGAGAAGACAAGTTGATCATCAGTTGAACTTCGGTTCCCCATCGTGAGGACCGTCTATCTTGACGGCCCGCGAATGCAATTATGCAAATACAGTGGCTTAACCCAGGACAAGATAAGCTGTTCCAGGCCCGCTCACTGGCAGGGCCCTACTATCCTGTGTTCTGAAAGACCAGCTCCCTTCAGGAGAGCACGGGAGATATATGCTTACCCTTCTGTGGAGGAAGTGGGTGGCATGTCGTCAGCTGGCTGCACCGAGCATTGGGGTCACCAGATGTCGCTCTATTGGGAACGGTGAAAAGAACAACACAGACTCTCTTGAGAGTTGAACAGGAGAGCTCTTTTCTCTCTTCAGGTTTATTACTTCAGATCTTCTTTTATAGACCCATACGTGAAAGTACAGAAAAGTAAAACTCTTATTGGTTAGTAAACTAACACATCGCCATCATTGGTCAGTGGGGTACACCACCCCTCGACCTTCTCTTGCAAGAAAACAAGAAACTGACAAACAGCACCTGCAAGGCTGTTTTCTATCTCTGGGGATTGTTTTAATTCCTCCTTATGATTTCCCAGGCCACTTTCTCAGGCGAGACTGAGAAAGTTATGCAGCCTGCTATTCCACAGGCACTGTGCTCCCTGCTTCATAGTTAACATCCATACCTGTGTAGATTTATATATGTATATACATTTAAACAAAAATATGTAAGTAAGTATGTATAAGGCTATACAGGCCTGTAATGTATATGAGTGTTTTTCCTCCCTCAGAATCTTGCTGGGTTCTCTGCACAGCATCTGCAGTAATGGCTGACAGGAGCTACAATCACAGTTATCTAATATGTGGCCACATCCCCTTTCCACCCCAGTGTTTCAATTCTGGTTTGAGCACCCATCCAATTCACAACAGTGAATTTAGCTGCAAGTACTGCAAAACATGTACAAACTGGCACTGTGAGCCTGAAATTGGCCAGATGCATTCAGGCTGATGTCGCTCTATTAGGAACGGCTGGGATTGAGCAACATAGACTCTCAAGGGAGTCGATTAGGAGAATATCTCGTCGTTTATTATTTCAGTTCTGTTTTATAGACTGATACGTGGAAAGTACAGAAAGGAATCTCCTATTGGTTAGCAAACTACTACACCACCATCATTGGTCAGTGGGGCACACACCCCCGACCTTCTCCTGCAAAGAAAATGAGGGACAGACAACAACACCTGCAAGGCTGTTTTCTGTCTTTGAGGATTGTTTTGAATCCTCCCATGAATTTCCCAGGCCAGCTTCTCAGGCAAGACTGAGAAGGTATATGGCCTGCAGTTTCACAAGCTCTCTGTTTCAAAGTTCGCATCCACAGGCTGACATTAAAAATATCAAAGTTACTTTTCTGACACCCAAGTGATTGTACTTATCATAGTCATAGTTCCATCTGTTTTTCCAAAGTATATGATGATACATCTGCACACAGCATTTAATGGTTGCTGGCAATGGCTGAACACATTTTGACACAGAATAACATTTTTCTCCTGGGCCTGTTCCTTAGGAATGGATAGCCCACTTGTGCTAAAACTCTAAATTAGGAACAAATCATCCTGAAGCAGGCACCAGACATGTATTATTTCAACTGAGACACGTGCAAAAGCAAAAACATGCTCATGAGCGAAGAAGAGAGCTTAGAATGAGTGTTGTTAACCTGAGCTGCAACAAATGATACAAGTATCAAAAATTTCATTTCTGCAGCACCCTCAGGGGGATTGGTTTTGACTCCATGTTCTAAGTGGTCATGACCATGTGCTTGCCTTTGGTCTTTCAAGTGACTATTTCACACCTGTAATCTTTCAAATAGACAGTCCCACAGCAGTTGTGCTGTACAAACTCAGACCTCTTCACCTTTCACATTAAGTTCCAGACCACTGCTTCATGACTACATTAAAAACAAAACAGAAAAATAGCACTTCAATCAATGTCCTGAGAATTGTGGAATTCTAGAGGATGAGGTTTTTGTACAACTGGACTTTTTTTTTAGAGAGCCATTGTTGTAATCCTCTCTCGGGGGGGGGACCCCTCTGTCTCACCCCCTGTGGTGAGAGCACCACGCCTCATGGGACACAGGCGGTGGAGGAGGTCCTGGAGTGGATACAACACAGACTCAAAGTACATATACACAGGAGGCCCAAACTTGCTGGAATAATCCCGGGTTTATTGTATGTCATCCATCTGGGGCAAGAAAGAGACGGAAAAGCCTTGGGTCTTATCTCTTACAGTAGGCGGCAGGGGTGATCGGGGGATACAGAGAAGTCACAGCCAATGCGAAGGGGGAAGGGAAAAAGGGTTCTCAGGTAGGAACTAACATTATACAAACCAGAGGTGAGTTTTACCCTTGGGAGATACCAAGATTTTTAGATGCACTACAACAAGCCATTTTTACCATTTCTATTGTTACAGCAATTTTATATATTCTATGTGTCTATTCTAAAAAAGTAAAAAAAATAATAATAAAATATGCTCTGTTCCTACAATATTGTTTATTTAGCCAAACTGTTCAGTGTCCAGTTAGTGATAAAAAAGAACTACTAGTAGTGAAAATATTTAATGATTTGATTTGCAACTATTTATGTGTGCTTAAGGTTGAAAGCAGGAACAAGTTTATATTTTGAATACAAGTAATACCCCTTGCTGATTTTCAGCAACTCACATGTTTGTCTGCCCTGCTTAATGTTGCACTAAATTGGCCTGAGAAAGGAAGGTGAAAAAATTAAATTCCATGAATATCAAGCATTTTTCCTTTTTCATCCCTCATTTCTCAACCTGTTTATTATGAAAATGATGAAAAGTCAAGTTTTCTTGTTCTCCTCATTGCTTTCCACTTAATCAGATCCTTTTCAATCAATTCCGAACAAAATATGGATACTTGATTCAAGTGTCTATCAGGTGGCTGCCCTATATGTTGTACAGGCCTGTATTATAAAATTAAATGGCATGGTGGTGAAAGTCTCCTATGTTTCCTTAGAGGACCGTAAGGAGAAAACTTGCAGACCCACACAAAATATCTGCAGATTTAATGGTGGCTACCTAATGCACTACACCTATAACATTTATAGTAAAAGTTATATTTCTGGATTGTTTTTAGAAATTGCCCCTTGGCTACACGTGTTCAAAGGAGAAGATGCTGTGGACTTCTCACAGTTAACATTTGACCCAGGACAAAAAGAGCTTATTGCTGGAGCAAGGTGAGCAATCTATTTTCTTTTTTGTGCTGCACCAGACAGGATTTTGTTCTTTGTTGATAAGCAAATTTAGCCAAATTCCAATATCAGTGTGCTCTTGTGTGCCTCCCCTGCCTTCCAGACCCACTAAACTGAATGTTATGTATGTTTATTTCTCTTATCCCTGATTGGAGTTGCAAGATGGACTGCCTGCCTGGTATCAAGGTTTATAATCTTATGCTATTCTAACTTTAAGGAAGACTGTCCTGGAGTACAAAATCTTTGTATGCATACTGTAGAACAAGCAGGTGCTATCTGGCAATGTGACAAAAGTTGCCATTGCATGGAGCTTAGGATGATCCCAAATTTGGCTATACAATGTGGCTCTTTGTGTTGGGATGTTTCTAATAATTATTCACTGCAATGCCAGGAGTGATCTGTTAAAGACTGCAGAATCAGTGGTAAAGTTGGTGACACTGTTTACAGAGTAGGAGAGCACTCTGCAAGCTGTGATCAACAGTGACACTGTCTTAGATGTCAACATTGAAGCAGTGAAAGTCCTTGAGCACTATTTTTCTTGCCTCTTAGCATATGAGGTGTAGCAAAACATCTTGGTTGGCCAAAAAAAATTAGCCATCTAAACTTATTATTCATATTGGCCTTCTAAATATATTTTACTTTTGAATGAACAAAGTTCTAGTCACTTCACTTTTCTGTTAGGTTTAGCATTGGAATCTATTTCTATATATTCTGTTTCTCAGTTTGCTTCTTAGCTGAAAATGAGGTTGAAAATGCAGTCATAAAATGCACTGCAAGAAAATTTTCTTCTATGGGCTAGTGGAAGTTGCTTATCTACAGGGGAAAACTTTCTGAGTATGGAAGTAGGTATGTGTGTTTTTATATATATTTATATATCTTTGGTCTGCATGAAGTGGGGTATTCTGTGCCCTGATGTTGATTTTTCATTTCTGTAAGCTACCCAAGGCAGTAAGGTGTGAGGTTATCAACTGTTGCTACTCTGTTAGGACTGTCACCATAAGAGCCTCTCCCCAGACCCATGGAAATGTGTTGGATTAGTGCACTCTGTACAGATATCTGTGGTAATTTGACATTTAGGAAAAAAAGCGGAAAACATCTACAGAAACTATTCCTCTGAGAAAGGCTGCTGGGAGTATCTTCTCTGCTTGAGATCAGACCAATAGCTAGCCAGTTTTAAGAACTGACAGCATTTTGGACCACTGAAAAGTGGGATCACCTTTGAGAATATTACCTTTTAAACCCAAGCCTGGGAACAACTTCTCTCTTTGTTTCTGGCTTTGGAAGGTATCAGAACTCTGGTGCAGCTGGCCCTGCTCCCCCACATCCTGTGCAGTCTGGGGCGTGGGGGCTGAACCAGACTCCAGTGGCTCTCAGGCAGGGGATGGAGACTGTGGGGCTTCCCCCAGCCCAGGCCAGGCTGAGCTCTGCTGTGGTCCCTGTCCCAACCTAGGGCCACAGCTGCTGATATCTCACCGATATCATGTGTGCACCCAAGGCCCACAGGGACAGCTCCAAGCCGAAAACCGTCTGGTCTCCAGCAGCTGCTGAGCTGAGAGAGACACCTGGAGTCTGACACCATGAAGACCTGCATGGCTTAGGCCAGATTTAACCTTTTCACTACACAGATAAGACATGCAGACTTAATCCCCTCTCCAGAGAGAGGAAAGTAGAGGCGATCAGTATCTGAAGAGACAACATGAAACATCAAGGTCAGTAAAGGAAGGAGTCAAGCCTCAGATGGAAGGAGAATGAGGACATAATAAGCTGGAATATTCTTTTGGTAAGGCCATGGAGATGGACAATAATGTTCTGAAAAACTCCTTTAATTCATGAAAGAGTATTGGGGAGAATGAAGTATTCAAACTATGGATCTGAGCAAAAGTATCTCTTGATGAAACTAAGTAGATGGTGGAGTAATTGTGATCCCATGAAAGGCTTAAACAGAGAGAGAGAGAGAAGTGAGAGCTAATAAAGACCTTTTGCCCAAGGGAGAGAAGAAGAACCCCTTATATAAAGGGGTTGAAAAACACTGAAAAAAAGACTTTTTGCCTCATGAAAAACCTCTGGCTGGCTGCTTGTGTTATTGGAACCCTCACTCTTATACTTCATGTCCTCTAGTGACACGCTACTGCCAAAACCCACCACAATATCCCCAATAGCTGTTCAAACAAAACCAAAAAACAACCAAACAACAAAACCAAACCTTTTTCCTCTTTCCTATCTTATTTTATTCTCCATACTGGTAATCTGGAATCCAAATTTGAGCAGAAAATAATCTCATTTAAACCAGTGTTTTTAATGAAGCTTTTTGAATCACTATGGGATAAGCTTTGAATGATTTTGTTCAATAAGCAGTGACTACAAAAAAAATCAGCTGTTAATTCTGCTTTTTACAAAAGATCCCATACATCAGATTTATTTTTTCTTTTAAGTCAATGATGCTTCAGAGCTCTAGATCTCTTTTTCTGATTAAAATTAAAATAATAAAAATATTCAGGGTTATTACAATTTCAACAGCAATTTTGTTTTACACAGTTCAGCATAGTTGGCTGTTATTTGTTCATAGAAGTTATTGATTTTCCCTTTCCTCATTCTGCATTTCCATTCTAAATTTTAACCTTTCCAGTGTTCTTGTGTTCGGCCATGGAGATATTCCTTTAGAATAACTAAACTTGACAGCAGTTTTTTCTAATTGTGTGTATTATTGATATCAGTACATCTTTTTGGCTACACATCTTTTTGTTCTTTAGGCATTGTGCCCCATGAGTTGTTATACATCATGGGATCCTAGATTCAGAGACTAGCAACCAATTGTCAGGGTGCTGTAGTCCCAAAACTGCAAGTGTAGTTTTACTGATTATGCACCTTCTGGATGTAGTCCCGGCTGCAGGTAGACCTGTGAATCTGCTGTGAATATATCAAGTTTTATCCTCACTTGCAGGAACGGCTTTTGCAGTCTTTCATAGTCTCAACTGGCCATATTGATACTTTTTTCCCCCCTTAATGTGCTGGTTTCAGTTACCTTTGACTGAGTGTCATCTGAACAGGCCATTAATACTATCATACTTGTGCTATGGCCTGTAGACAAAGTTTAGTACAAGTTTCTTGAACATCTACCTTGAACATCTATGGATTCACATACTCAGAGAGACATTTGAAGAATTCATTTTCTGTCCTAAGCAACAATGGTGCTCTTGTAAAGACAGTGAAGAGAATGCACTGTTAATTCTCTCTTCCTGATGAAGTATCTTTCAATATGTAGTTATTTCTCTGAGAATATTTCCACTTTAATATTGTCTTCTTGTACTAATACTTCAGCACTGAAAAACTAATAACCATGTGTAATTTGATTTCAGTAAGATCTGAACAGTGTAAAGTTCCTATTCAATTGTGAAAATGATAATTTATAGCCTTCTAGCAGGGACTTCTCTTTCCTACCCAGTCACTGGTAGAGGATGGGCAATGGGGCACATCACAAAGGTACAAATAAACTTATATTACTTTATACACTTCCAAGAGAAGTACTCTCATTATTATTTATTTGTCCAGCATCCACACAAGAACAGGTATACTGTGTTTGCATGGCAAGCCTCTGGTATGGAAAGGGGCTACAGGGGTGGCTTCTGTGAGAAGCTGCTGGGAGCTTCCCTCATGTCTGGCAGAGCCAATGCCAGCTGGCAGCAAGATGAATGTGCTGCAGGTCAAGGCTGAGCCCATCAGCAATGGTGATGCCTCTGTGATAACATACTTAAGAAGGTATAAAAGTTATTGACTACAAATAATTATGCCCACAGAAAAAAGGAGGGAAAATATGTGAGAGAAACAGCCTTGCAGACACCAAAGTCAATGGAGAAGATAACGTGGAGATACTTCAGAGTGTAAATTCCCCTGCAGCTTGGGATGCAGACCATGATGAAGCAGCTGTGTCCCTGCAGCCCATGGAGCCCATGGAAATCCATGGGTATGCAGAGATCCACCTGCAGCCCATGGAGAAGACCCATACTGGAGAAGGGGGATGCCCAAGGGAGGCTGCCACCCTGTGGGAAGCTCACCCTGGCAAGACCTGTGGCTCCATGGAGAGAGGAGCCCACAGGAGGAGCAGGTTTGCTGGCAGGATTTGTGACCCTGTGGGAGAATCAGCAGTCTCTTCCTGAGGGACTGTACCCTATTGAAGGGATCCGTTCTGGAGCAGTCCATGGAGAATTGAAGACTGTAGGAAAGATCCATGCTGGAGCAGTCCCTGGAGGACTGTCTTCCATGGGAGGGGAACCCATGCTGGACTGGAGCAGGGGAAGAACTCCTCTTCTTGAGATGGAATAATTGCAGAAACAATGTGTGATGAACTGACCGTAACCCCCATTCCCTTGTCCCCCTGTGCCACTGGCAAGTAGGAGGTAAAAAGTCAGGAATAAAGTTTAGCCTGGAAAGGAGGAAGTAATAGGGGGAAGGTATTTTTAAGATTTATTTCTCTTATTCTACTCTGATCTTGATTGGTAATAAATTTAGTTAATTTCTACAAGTTGTTTATATTTTTCCCATGAAGGTAATCAGTGAGTGATTTCTCCCTGTCCTTATCACAATTCATGCACCTTCTATTATATTTTCTTTTCCTGCATAGTTGAGGAGTGGAGTGATAGATCAGTTTTGGTGAGAACCTGGTCTTCAACCAGGGTCAGCCCACACCATCTTTGCACCTACGGGATTCTGCTTTAGTAATCTGGCGGTATTCTAAACTAGGGGAATGATTTTTCACAGCCAGAAGCTGTATTCTGGCTCATCTTACGTTCATAATTGACTTTTTCCAGCTTAATGCATTTAATGACCAAATTCCTGTCTTAGAAATCAAACAAAATACTATTGTGAAAGTTGGACACTATTGGAAATTTTTAAATTCCTTTTCCATTATTGATATTCATGGCAGGTGACTCTTTTTCATTTATGAAATTCTAGAGCCTCTAAAGATACATATGATTTGTCTTATTGAA